CTTCCCTTCCCTTTCCTTCCCTTCCCTTTCCTTCCCTTCCCTTTCCTTCCCTTCCCTTCCCTTCCCTTCCCTTCCCTTCCCTTCCCTTCCTTCCTTCCTTCCTCAGAAACTGTCTTCTCAATTTATGTCAGACAATGTCTGCAATGTCTGCTTGCTTGCAATCTAGGCTAGTAGTGGAGAAAATAAAAAGTATTTCTCAAATATGAAGGTTTCATATGACATTGACCCTATAGCAGTAGGAATAAAAAAACTCAATGGGACAATCTTGTTGAGAGAACAGGGCACTGAGGAACTGGAAGATTGTTCATTAATGAACAATTCCAATGTTTGTAACAGAATAGGCAGTAAACACAGGACATATTCATTAATCTTCTCTTGGTCACGGCCAAAGTGGCCTTTCACGTCACCAGGAGAAGAAAACTCCACCAGGGACACCCTGCCAAATGCCTCGTTTGCTTCCAGCCCCTCATCTTCTCATGTCAATGAAGAGAGCACTGGCAGGCAGCATCCATTGCTTTCCTGGGCACATTCCAGGAGAAACTAATGGTGTAGGGGACTGCCCTCTGCTAATGAACTCACACACCTTCCCTTTAACACTTCTTGTCCTCTGGAATAACTCTTTGTTCTCCTCGTATCTCTTTTTACCTCTTGCCCTTTCTCTGCTCAGAGGGTTTGAAAGTTTGGTTACGGTTGGGCTGGCACCTGGCTCTAAAGGGTGGAATGACAGCTAACTTGGTTTAAGCAGGACATAATTAAAACTTTTTAGCTCCTTCCTGCATGGTCTAGTGAGAGCTTATGTGCTCACTGCATCACTGAGAAATACTTGCAGAATAATTGGCCCCAGGAGAGTCATATGCTGGTGTCTTGAGATTCTCCTTTCACATTGAGTAGTTTCCTTTGTTATCTCTCCACTGCTGATGCCAACCAGCAGAAGTAGCGTTGAACCGGAATGTTCCTGCGGTATTTTTCCTTGCCAATCACTTCCTTCTGTCTGTCTTTTCAGAGATTTTTTTGTGAGAACTGGCCTCACAATGCTCTGAGCAAGGACAGAACATGGAGCTAAACTTTGCACACTGGTGCTGTAGATTTGGTCCAAAACAGCAGGTAAGAATTGTCCCTCTGAAGAAAACTGAGGACCTCTCTGCTATAGCCTGGCATACCCCTGTAGTGCAGAGCTCCACTAGTAGATAGTTGTGTGTAGGCAAATCAGCACCCATTTTTCTCTCAATACACTTTGTTCAGAAAATGGTGGAAATATAAAACAAAAGGCCCTATCTGCAGTAAAAGTGCTTTGCATGTTTGGAGTGCTGGTATTTCCACGAAAATATTTCAGGTTGAGATCACAGGTTCACCAGGATGAGAGGGCCTGAATTTGCAATCAAAGTTTTACTGTTGACTTAAATAAAATGCTGGGGAGGTTTCTTTAGGTTTAACTCTTTAGTACTTCTCCTACAAAGCTGATCACTGAGTAGTTTAGAGGATGATACATATTTGATTACATTTACTACCCTTGTGTGAGTTGGGGCAATCTCTCTCATGAGTACTGTACCCTGTGGTTTCAATATTCAAAAATGAGTCTCATAATTTTTCTTTTTCACTAGCTCTTGGCAATTCAAAATTGCAAAAGCACTAGATTTCTTGAAAAACTGTTTCTGATCAACATAATACAAAACAGAGTATACTTCAAAAAATGGAGAACAGCACCCACTTCGGATTATGATATTTGTTTCCTGCAGACAATGAAATTTTAGTACTTGCAATCTTCTGAGTGCACTTTGATCCAACATGTATTGCAGAGAACAGCCCCGTTTCAGATAATTTTAATTTAACTCTTTTGTACCTATGAAAAAAATTTCTGAAAAAAACTTGGGGGCAGGGGGGTGGGAAAAAAAAGACTGTAAAATCAGAGAGGTGAGGTACTGGTATGCTTTATCTAATATTCTGTTTCCAGCAGACATCACTGCCAATTTGATTTACATTACAGCAAGAAATCCTTCAGTAGAAAATAATGGATATATTCTCATAAAAATTTGTTACTAACATCTAGATTGCAAAGATGAGCACATTCCCTGAAATTGGAGTTTTGTACATCATATTAGCTTTTTCAGTTTTACTTGTGCTACTTGATGTTTCTGTTATCCTCATAAACTTCCTTTCTCTTGAACCCTGCTTCAATGACATTCCTTGGAAATAAGTTCACACTGCAATTACAAAGTTGAAAAATGTGTTTCCTTTTATCAGTTATAAATGCATTTTCTTTTGACTCCATGGGTGCCTCCTTCTTTATAACTAATGACAAGAGGCAATCCTATTATGTCTATCTACTTGTTGAGTCTTTTTCTGTGTACATTTATTCCATTTCCTCTTATTTATTTCTGGTTTAAAGCATAGTATCAATTTATCTTCTAATATGAGAGTATTTTTCCGTGTCTAACAGTCTTTTGTCATCAGTTCGGGCCTTCTTCCATTGTCATCCATGGGGACATAAAATCTCTATAATAAATCATAATGATAGAGTATAAATTAATTTAGCATGCATCTGCACACACTAAGTCTCCTTCCTCTAGGACTCCTGATATTTCTTGAACTGACTTCCAATTGATTCAACCAGATGTCATTTTTTTTTTTTTTTTTTAATAAGAGCACATTTTCAGAAGTATTTTGCTTTTCTCTCACACACATTTTCTTTGGACAAAGGGCTACACTGAATAAGTTAGATGCCAAGCCACAAACAGCTTTCCTATACATGTCAGTATTTTAAATTGAGTTGGTTTTGTTATCAGTAAGAATGGAGTTTGGCTAGAGATGGAAGATTTCCTTCCCCTTACAGGGTTGGACCTCACTTTTCTATTGGTAAGACTTCAAATAGTCACATAAGAACTAGTTAGAACATTTTTTTGGTGTTTTCTGGCTCCAGAACTGCTATATTTTATTATCTGCTTTAATCAGGAATTAAATTCCAAAAAAAGTAAATTGCAATCTTCAAATTGCTCTAGAACAGCTTTTCTGTAATAAATTTTACTTACGTGCATAGAAGGGTGAAATATAAGTATTTGATTTGAATGAGCTTGGACACTGTGATGACTTGCAGAACTTGTGTTGTAGTCATCCAGAATTCATATTCATAAAGACTATGTATCATATCACATAATATGAATTATCTCATATATATTACATATGTTTTAGCTTAAAGTATTGCTGGAGAACAGCTAAAAAGCATGGGGGAAAACACAAATAAGAAAATCTGGGCTATGTTACTGCTTTTGCTGAACCTTCTTCTGCTTTGGCAGTTTGAAAGATGTAGCCCTGGCGTTGCTTATTTTTGTGAACTTTGGTATGGTTACAGCTAGATGCCTCTAGGAAACACCTAAGAAAGCTATGATGAAAACTGCAAAACTACACAGTATTTCTCTCCAGCACTTAGAAAGGGAGATTATCTGAGATTAAATGTCTAGGCATTTAAAAATTCATTAGATGAATTCCAGCCTAGGACTCTGGCACTATCAGCTTCCAGAAAGTGAAAAACAGTTGCTGTTAAACAGGGATAGGAATCCAGGAAAGTATATACTCCTGTGCCTGTGCTATGTTCTGGCACAGTGCCCTAAAGACAGTTTTCACCATAAAACAGCTAACAATGGGCTGCCACAGAAGGAGAAGTCTCTCTAAAGCTCATGGTGCAAGTATCACACTGCTGAGAAGTGGTGAACTGCATCTTGCTGGCAACAGTCTCCAACAGCTTGGTTAAATGGTGTGAGGGCCAAGTGTAGCTGAGAAGGTTGTCTGTGGTGGCAGCAGTGGTGGGTCTGTGGTCCCCATTGCAATGTGGCTTTACTATCCCTGGGCTTCTTTTTGCTTCCTGCTTAAAGCAGCAGCACTGCAACTTCTGTTCTCTTCTGCAGCTTGCAAGCTTTTCAGAGCAGGCAGCCACAGCAAGGTTATTTTGCCGTGAGAAGGGTGACAGACCCCTCATATAAGATACCGATAGTGGCACAGGTGAGTGAGAGATGCCAAGAAGAGTAGCGGGGATTTAAAAGGCAAATGGAGAGCTCTTGGGGTGGATACAGTCCCTGAAACCACTGCATGTGTATCTGAGAGTGTGGCACTATACAAAGACCTGCAGCCTGAAGTCACCCAAGCATGCTAAAGCCACCAAGCGTCACACAGTTACTTGGGATGACAGAGGGCAGCGCCTCTTTACTGCTGTTTCCTGCCTTCCCCATTTTTTATTTCTGTCTCTTGAGAGCCCAGTCTAGTCCATCAAGAGGACTCCACCCTTTTCTCCCCTGGGTGACAGCCTGGAATAAAAGACCAAAGGAGAGACTAGTTTTTCAGTAGTGTAATGTTTTCCTCAGTCATGAAGTGGCTGTTAAAACCATGTTGTCTGGCTTTGCTTTCAAAACAGCTCAGTGTTCCTACGGGTGTCAGAGACAAAGGCTGCATTTTCTGTTAGTTCTCTCACTTTTTTTTTTTTTTTTTTCTACCCCCCTGCTCTGTCTGTGTGTGTCCGTTAAGGGAGATGGGATCAGCATTCAGAAGCAAAAGCATCAATATTTCCTCATAATGATATTTAAAAAGCTGTTTCTAAGTTTGAAATACCATGCAAGACGTTTCTCAAACAGGATTTCATAGCCTGCCCGTGCTTGTAACTTAGGGAAACATGACAATGTAGCTGCTTCGAGGAAGAAACTTTGTATTTAAGTGTTTTGTATTCTTTTTCACCGGAGGCAGTTCAGTTTGTGGATGTCAGCTTCTTACTCTGGAAAAGTATTTTTATTGAGTATAGTCAGTTTTAAAAGGAAATGATAAATATGTAAACATAAAGTCTACAGAATAGATCAGCAGAAGATAATACTCTTTTTAGAAGAACAAAACCATGCCTCGGAATCTTGAAGAGAAACAGAAACCCTGGACTGAAATTCTCACCTCTTTGAAGTCAACTGGACTGATTTTAAGTGACCAAAGTAAAGCCAGGATTTCACACTAAAGTCCAAAATCTTAAGAGAAAACCTATGGAAACAATGTAATAAAACTAAAAACTAAAAAAGGCATGTAGTTGATTTTGTGTGTGTGTGTACAGGGAAGGCTGTGTAGCCTCTCTCTTCATGAGAGCAATACTGAGAAGAATCTTAAATATTTGCAGGATTTAAGCCTAATAATAGACCTGGTCACAGAATCACAGAATGGTGTATTAGATAACTGTAAAAAAACAGCATAAAGAAGGCACTGGATTAAAATAGTAGGTTTGCAAGGTGACTAATAACTTATTTGATCCTTTCAAAGATCTAAAACCAGAACTCAAATTAAATGAAATGACTGTTTACTCTGTAAAGTTACCCAAATAGGTATCAATGTAAATTAGAAGCATTCAGCTTTGCATACTAAATATTTTTGTTTATAAACTTGAAGAAGGAGTGAGTGGTTAAAGAATTAAATTGACTTGGCCTTCTGGAGGAACCTCATGATAAACCTGATCTATCTTTATTAACTGACAATATGCTTTGCCTCCTTCTCTCTTGAGATTTGTTTAATATTAACAGAAGATGTGAAAGGGAACTCTATGCTTCACTTTTTTAGTAGCTTTTAGTCTCACAAGGGAAGGGATTGAAAATGAGATAAAGAAGATTTTGTTCGGAAACTTCCTATAAGACTAAAGGCTTTACCATTCCTTCAAACACTTTTGCACTTGCTTTATGCACAGCAATAGCTTTATGCACAGCAATATGATTTTGCTAAGCTCATTTTCAAGACATAGGGCTAAAACTGCACTGGTGTAAATTCCTTGATTTCAGGTTCAAGGGAAGTGAATGTGTCTTTTGTGCAGTTAGGTAATAAATTATAGTTAGCTACACAGCATTCTTAAGTCATTATTGGAATCCTTCATCAGTACAAAAGTGAGATTATAGTTAAACCCATGATACCTCTGAAGTTAGCTGGTAAGGATAAGCATGCTTTAAGACAGAAAAAGTAGTGTTTTTAAAAATGTATTTGGAAACCTGAACTCTGTGGGTGTTCATACACCTCTGCCTGGGAGTTGAAGCAGCTTGGGCACGGGCCCCTCAGGGAGCAGCTGGCCTGTGGGAGCTGGTGTTCCAGCCCCGGAGCGAGGCGGTTCCCAGCTACCCAGGCAGGAACGTGTTGCAGCTGGAAGCCCTTCAGCAAGGCACGGCTGCTGCTGCTGCTGGTGCTGCTGCTGGTGCTGCTGCTGGGCCTTCGAGGGGGTCAGGCAGCCAAAGCAAGACTTGCAAGTCCTTCCGTGATGATGCACCAGGGATCCTTGAGGGTTACTGCCTTTCACTAGGGAAATCACAGTAAAGTTAAGCAGGCAGAACACCAAAAAAACCGACTTTTTAGAACACTTTCACAGTTGTTTGGACACCCGACCCTAACTCACAGTTCAAAATAATCGATGAGTGCCTGGGTGGGGATTTTTATAGAAAAGTATGCTAGCACCTCTGTTTGAAAACAAGAACTATCAAACCCACCAGCTGGTATGTAGGGCGTTCTATCCGGATCATTCCACTGTCGAACTGGGAGCTACTGGAAGGCACTGGACTGCAGTGGGACGCGCCAGGCTTTCCCGCCTGGCTGCCGGGCTGCACGGGAGGGAAGGCGTGAGGAGCCCGGCTGGTCCCTGCCGAGGGGCACGGCTGTGAAACGGCCTTTCCTTGCCGAGGCTGCTTGTCCCGGGAAGTGTGCGCGGTGGGGACACGGTGGGTGCACCGGCAGCGTCC